AACAGATCGCTTTGGCATAACTTGAGTCGATGATGAGCTGATTTTCATAGACCAAACTATTTGTTAATTGAAGAAGTCAAATGATCAATTTATGAGCGAATGACGTGAAACATGATTTGATTGGAAATAATGCAATGAAAATAATGGAAATTATGAACAATCAATAACTAATTTAGAATGTCCAACAAAATGTTTCGAAACATTCTTTCAGTTTAATCAATCAAAAAATGAACAATAGAATCAAAAGTTGCATAGTAACAATGAAATCAGAAGTTGAGCAGAAAATAATTAATATTCATTAAATGTTGGAAAATTGTGAATGAAACCAGACTGATCGAGTTCTCAGTATATCCATGTAAAATGAATCTTTTAACCAAATGCAAAGAATTGTTAACAATTTATACTTTGGTTCAAATTATTTGTTCAATTGGATGTTTCATGCAGATAGAATACGTTTTTACACGGTATTTTGCTCGTGAAATTACAATAGTTACAACCGTTGAGATTCCAGATGAAACGATATTACCAGATTTTGTCATTCGAGTTGAAGTTTTGCGTTTCATCAACTATACTCTGTTTTTCAAGCGATTTACTCATGTTGGAACATTGGCATCTTTCAAATACAACAATATTCATGAGCTGAAAACGTCGCTGAAAAACTCGACTTTAACAAAGAGAATAAGCCAGTTGATTGAAAAGGAGTTGACCATCAAAGAGATGACCAGTTTACTTTATAAACCCAAAGACTTCATTAAAACCATTTACGTGCGATCAGTAGAAACCATGAAGGCCGGATCATTCAATTCCGATTACGTAGATCGATGTCAATTCAAAGAGTATTACCAATCTTCATTTTTTTACATTGTGATTGCTTGTTCCACTGAAGGTCCAATCATTGGAAGTTTCATTCTTAAAGATTTGAACCCTGGAGTTGCAGACTTTTTTGCAGTGGTATTGACTCAAGGCATTGCGTTCACACAACGAGGAATGCAAATCGCTTTCATCGAATCAAACTCTCCACCGAATAGTCAAAAAATCCAATGGACAAGGTTACCATTAACCAATGAAAATGCCGTTTATACAACTTCATTTAAACTCATTACCCTTTCATTGTTACCGACACCATACTCGAGCTGTGTAAACTACAGCGATGAAGGATACGACAATCGATATGAAAAGCTAGACGAATGTCTGAACAAACTGTCTCAAAAATGGTTGAATAGACCGTTTCATCAGTCCTTACATCGAGCTGATATTGATGCACCTTTTGTTGGCTTTGATCAAGACCTCAAGTTTGAAAATGAAACGTTTGCTAAGCTGAGTAATGACATACTGACAAAATGTGAAGCGGAAACTATGGGAATGGATTGTTATGAAAGACACTACAATGTCAAGGAACCAGACGCAGTGAGAAGTTTGTTTCCTTTAACAGCAATCATTTTAGGAATCAGCAATCAACCTTATATTGAAATGGTTGCTAAACCAAAATTAAATGTTCTTGATTGTATTGTCTCAGTTGGGAGTATCTTTGGGTTTTGGTTTGGATTTGCTTTGAATGCCCATATACCTTGGATAACATGTTTAATCAAGTCTAAATTGATGCCTATTCGGAATAAAAAATTGACCAAAATAAATAAATATCCACCTAGAGATGGACCGATACATAAAATTAAACTAGCACAACTGAATGTGGAACTAAACAATAACTACTTTACACTTCGACCCAGAGAATCGAACAGATTGTCGATCAAAAATAGCAAAAGATTCACAATTAATTGATCTTTCATGTTTCCCAAAAGTTTAAACCTATTGACGAAATGTCCCTTAACAAGTTTTGTACTCTTCCACATCTCTATTCCTCCAAAACTAAATTGTGACCTTAATTTTACTTCTAAAGGGTACATTTTGTGACCATCTAAGGGTCCAATAGCATTGAATTGAGCAATTCTTGACTCACTCAACAAGTGAAATTGTTTGATCTGTAAGATGAATTTACCCAATATCATGATCCAAAATTGAAAAAACACCTCAGATCTCCATGAAAGAGCGACCCTTAAGACTGTGGTCATTAACTTAATGAATACTATCACCGACATTGACCAGACCACTGCGGTGAGATGCACTTCTTAAATAACTCGAGGAATCATGGTGTTGCCAGTTTGGTCGTCGAATTAAATTTGAATTTTAATATTTGATTTAAATATAAATATTACAATTGTTAGTCTCAAGAAATTAAATAGTCTTGGATAAATTAAACAAAGAGTATTTATATTATAATATCATTTATCATTTATTACAATATTTTAGCAAAAATATCAAAATTAATAGCGGATAGTATTTTAATTTTAATTTTGTTTGCATTATACAATGTAAAAATAATATTTAGTCAATTTAATCTGTAGACCTTAATTTTTTTAGAGTGATAACAAAATTTATGGATAGACAGTAAATCCAATATCAATGAAATTGAATATTATATTTTCATCATTATTACACAAATAAATTGGGTAAAACATTTATGCATTTTTTACATTATTTTAATATAACGCTCTTGTTTTTGTCAGCATTTTGTATTGAAACACTCGTCTTCTCATTTAGTACTTCAAGATGCCTCTGGTTCAATGAATTCCCATAAATGGATAGATCCTTCAGCTGATGTTAAAATCTCATTTTTTGATGGATGACAACTTAATGAATGGACAACTCGATGATTCGCATGATACACTCTTTGAACAACTTTTTTCTGCAAAAAAATAAAATTCAAGTTATTAGTAAATACTTCAAAGGTTAAGAAACGAAAAGCTTTAGCAGTCGATATAACATTGAAACTTACCTGAATGAGATCCCAGCAAACCAGATTAGCATCTTCAGAGCCAGAAACTACTATTGAATCATTATTGATTAAACCACTTTCTAGACGATATTTATTATTCACATGACCACGATACCTATTAAGATAATTGAATGACCGATTATTGAAAAGCTTGTTAAAAATGGTTTTAAATAAATTCATTAAAAAAATAAAATATATATTGGATCACATTAACAGGGAATGATATTAAAATTTGAATACACAAAAAAATAGATAAGCTATAAAATTCAATTGGATCATATCCATGATATCATCAAATTGT